ACCCCAAAAAAATCTCGCCCTCAATCTCTCTAACTCCTTCAAGACTGAGAAAGGGGGGGGGGTAAGGAAAATGGACATCATATAGCTCCCCAAAGAACCCAATACATAGTTCACCACTGTAAGACGACCACCAATAGAAAGAGTCTTAGCCTTCTAATTCGAAAACTTTGACCAAAACCGATCAATGACGGAAGCCCAAGCATTAATCCGAGTCAAAATCCGGCCCACATGAATACAAAGATGCACAAAGGGGAGGTTTGAAGCTGCACAACCTATATTAACTGCCACTTCAAGAACTTGGGAATATGGAACTCCCACACCTATCAATTTACTTTTTGCCAAATTGATTTTTAGACTGGATGCCAAATAAAAACACCTAAGAATACGAATAAGTCGTTCCACAGTTTCAGGGTTCCAAGAAGAAACCAACATAACATCATCCGCATAAAGAAGATGTAAAATCTTAATTCCTGAAAAAGAAATACCCCTGAACATATTCCCCATCCTAGCCCTCATCAAAGCAACGTGTAAACCTTCCATAGCGAGAATAAAGAGAAAGGGTGAAAGCGGATCACCTTCTCTCAAACCCCGATGTATTTGGAATTCATCTGTCGAAGAACCATTAACCAATACTGAAGCCCTAGCAGTGGTCAATAATTCCTTAATCCACCCACACCACTTGGAACAAATCCCATAATTGACATGATTTCCAGAAGATAATCCCATGATAAAGAATCATTGGCTTTCTCAAAGTCCACCTTAAAAAGCATCAAAGGATTTCTAGACTCCTTACACCAAGCGACGACTTCATTCAAGAGAAAAGGACTATCCAAAATTTGTCTACATTTAATAAACGCGGATTGCTCAAGGCTAACGACACTATGAATAACCTCCACCAGACGATTAGCTAAGAGTTTACCAATAATTTTATATTGGCAACCGATAAGACTAATATGAATATTTCAGACTATGCCCTCAATCTTATATAACATTTAATTCAAGCCTTGACACATTTATTTATTTGTTAGACATGTAATAATAAAACACAGTTTTACTTTTGAATATTATTATGTTAACTAAAAAAATATTATGAAGACGTTTAAAAGATGTCAATATTTAATGTTATTGAATTTTATTTTTATTAATAAGCTAAAATATTAGTAATTTTAATATTTTAACAATTTATTTTAATATATATATATATATATATATATATATATATATATATATATATATATATATATATATATATATGTATATACTAGATGTGTCCCGCGCAAAGCAGCGGCGATAAATAACTTTTTTGGCAAATAGTTTTCTTACAGGAAAATAATTATTAGATTTTCTGATTAGTTATTATCTAATAAAAAATTATACTTTTAATTGAAATAATTATATTTAGAACTTATATTGTCTATATATATACATTTTATGTAAATTAGTTACTTTCGATGTTTAGTTTAATAAATGTAAATTAATTTATATAGATGAATTTGATATTTTAAATTTGTTATTTTGCTCCAAATTAAATTTCTTAATAACCTACCTTATTTGAAGTCTTCACAAATTTGACAAGTATTAATGATTTTTTTATGCATAATTGATTTGTACAAAAAACTTTGCATCTTATACCTCTTAAAATTCAAGATATGACTAATATGCTTTATAATATAGTATTATATATATATATATATATATATATATATATATATATATATATATATATATATATATATATATATATATATATATATAGGGCTAGATTGTAATGTGGATGGTAAGTATTGTGTGGATTTGGAATGAATGTGGACCAAAAGTTTAAAATACATATTCTAATAGAACACATATTCTGATTGAATACAAATTCTGACAGAATACATATTCTGATTGAATGAACATTTTGAAGAATAACGAAATTTTGAACCATGAGTTGAAGAATAACAATATTCTTAAAGAATTATCATCTATTATTAACATTACTGAAGAATCTAAGGTCCAAAAATAAACAAAAAAATAATTTTATTGTCACATTCTATAAAAATAAATTGTCATTTTTTTGAATTTTTGCCACATTCTATAGGAATATAAGCTTTATAGCAAGTCATTCTTGAAAAAATCTTCATTCTATAAGAATACAATGTCATTCATGAAAGAATCTTCATTCTTATTCTTGTTCCATGCTGTTATATTTTGACATTTTTGTGTGGTGAATCTCAATTGTCATAAAATTGTCTCTTAATTACCATCCACTATTGTTGTTTCAAACAAGTTTGCTACATTTTGAGTGGTCTTGAAATAAAACACAGACAGATAATGAATTTCAAGAATATAAATACATACAACTTGTGGCCTCATGGACCAATTATCCATTTATACAAATACTTTGTATATTGAAAATTGGAAGAGTTTAACAGTTTACTTGTTTAGGTGATTTAGTTATATGATTTTGTAATTGCATCATCCATGATTTGTGATTTAGTTATATGATTTTGTAATTGCATCATCCATGATTTGTAATTCTACAGCGCAATCGCAACCTGGACCAGGGCACCATTTGATCTTCTTGTTGCTCTCGACATAAGACATGAGAAGAAAAGGGCGTACCTTTTCTTTTTGTTCTCCGGAGCCAACGCTTTGACCATGTTCGGACCAAAAGCAGCATTGCAGGAAGGTTCGGGACACTTTAGAGTTAAGCATCCAGGGCCGTCGTCGATGGCGGTGCAGACGTAAGCCGTCCAACACGTCTTATAGAATTGATGATCGCATCCACATGTCGCAGTGTTACGCTTTCTAATCGATTCAAAACAAATCCCACAATCGACAAATTCTTTACCTGATTGAGGGAATTTAATAATCGGATCAACATCCGGTAAACCAACAAAACTACGAACTTTATCTTCGTCTTCAAACCAAGCTTCTTGAACACTAAAATTGAGGGCGATCGGTGGGATGTGACGTTCCAATCGTAGCTTCACAGGAGAGAGGATGTGCTAGCCGGAGGTGGTTCAGTAAATCTCGATGGAAGCGGGAGGGATACGATTTTGTAGGTGTCGATGGAAGAGGCAATAGGGTTTTAAATAAAGTAATTTGCCTAAATTAAAGGGTAGACAATTTAATTAATTATTTATTAAAAATTAAATAATATTTGGCCCATATTAATCCCTAAATCCACACAATATTTGTTCATCCAATTTTGAACCTCTCTCTCTCTCTCTCTCTATATATATATATATATATATATATATATATATATATATATGTCATTTGAGAATAAAGAAAAGTTGATAATGCGAGAATGAGTCTAATCATACATTTATTCATTACCGCAAAAAAGTTCCAATAAACCGACGCGACAGAAAAATGTAATATTCATATATAAAAATAAAATTATAGTATATTCATATATGAATATATTACGTACTAGTGACACCACCCCCTATTTCATCCACCAGCGCCACCTCGACTATATTTACCACCATCTCCGTCACGTCGTCACCACCTCTGCTATTAACCACCACCGTGCGCACCTCTACCACCACCTCTATCAGCGTCATCGTCATCGATGCCACCACCTCTGCCACAATTGTGTAATCTGTTTTTTGTGATGTTTCTTGTTTTAGAATTTTAGACATTAATTTGATCAAGAGAATGTCCCAAACTTTAAGAGATGAAATGGACCTTAAACGAATGATGTTTTTGGGGAAAAAGTATAAGACTTCAAAATTAAAGGGTTAGCTTTGGGTTGTAACCAGTTTTGGATTAAGTTTGATTTTTTATTCTTTAGAAAGTTATCAGGTTTTTACGAATCTTTGTTTATGTTCGTTCATTTATAATCGTTTATATTTATTCGTTCAAATTTGTTTGTTTATTTATACTGACACGTACATAAAAATAAGTAAGTACGTTTTTTTAGTTAACGAACGGAAGTTTAAATAATCAAAAACGTATTATATGTGACCCGAGTCATATGTAGGAAATATACATTAAAGTAAACACGGAAAACGTAAAAAAAAATACATTGAAACGTAGACAAACTTTAATTTACACGGATATGTACATAAAAAAATTAGCGTACAAAAGTTTTAAATTTACGTTGAAATGTTGACCATCTCGAATTTATACCAATACATATATAAAAATAAATAAAAAAATTAGTTTTTTTAAAGTTAATTAACTAAATAATTATTAAAGAAAATATGATTATGTATATTATGAATGGTAAACATAAAAATTTAGGAAATAATAAGGATGAAATTGATATTTTTATATTGATTACAACCATCTTAAAATCTTGAGTAAATAGAATAGAAAGTCAAAGTTTAAGTATAAATTTAAAGAAATTAAATATTTTTCTACTTCTTGTTTCCAACCTATTTAAAATGATGACAAGTGTACAAATTTACCATCAAGCGCAAGCAAGCTTGGCCGCCCAGCGTCCTCAAATCATTCAATGTCATCATTCAAATTTAAATTAAATTAAATGACACTTGTCACCATCTAAAATAGGTAGAAAGATATTATGCACAAAAAATAGAAGGATATTTAATTTCTCATAAATTTATATATTAGTTATAGGGCCATAAATAAATATATTATTTTGAAATGTGTTTTTATGAGTTCATTGATAAATAGAGAAATGATTTGATATTTTCGAATCAAATCAGTTAAATCGTCGTGTAATTCCGATTCGTCTGGTTAGAGTTACCCTATAAAAGTTTATAGGGTTTTGTTAGAGTTATTATCATGTTATCACAATAATAACATACAAATATTAGAATTAACATTTTTAATCGAAAGAAAAAACATTGGATGGTTTTATCAATTACATCATAGAAGTTAGTTGTATTGAACACCACCTGAAATATTAATATGTATGTTCGGTTTAATTTGGATAGAAAAGTAATGGTTATTGTGCTTACATTTCAGAATCTTATTAAATTAGTGCCCTATATATACATGTTATTTTGTTATCACTTTATCAAACATTCGTTAAAGCCTCAATGGCGGTTGTAAAGCCTTTTGTTCATGCATTCTTTTTGCTTTTAATTTGCACAACTGGTAATGTATGTGACAGAAAGCTTGTTGGTGAGGAAAAGGCATCCGTTGAAGTTCATAACATGTTAGATAATGATGTTACGGTTTTCGCCAATATTGAGGATGCTGATAATATTGGAGTGATGCGTACAAGAGTGTTCATGGGTGATACTGGAGAAAAGCCCGATTTCGGTGCGGGTGCGGGTGCGGGTGCGGGTGCGGGTGCTGGTGCTGGTGCTGGTGCGGGTTCCGGTGCCGGTGCCGGTGCCGGTGCCGGTGCGGGAGCCGGTGCGGGTGCGGGTGCGGGTACGGGTGCGGGTGCGGGTGCTGGTGCGGGTGCGGGTGCGGGTGCAGGTGCTGGTGCGGGTGCGGGTGCGGGTGCGGGTGCAGATGCTGATAGTGGTGTTGGTGTTGATGTGGATGCTAATGCGGGAGCCGGTGATGTAGGTGCTAGTGGGGGAGCAGGTATTAGTGTTGGTTTCAGTTTCAATAGTTTCGGTGGTGATATTGATGCTAGTATTGGTTTCAATTTCGGTCCTAGTCCTAGTCCTGGTCCTAGTTTCAATTTCGTTCCCGGTCCTAGTTTCAATTTCAGTCCGAATGTTGGTGTTGGTGTTGATGTTTAACGCAAGGTAATGCAACTTTTAGAATAATAGGAGAGCAAACAACTTTTTAACCATATTTATCTAGTTTCAAGTTAAATTATGTGCGCGAATATAAAACCTTATATATGAGATGCATGTTACATATATCTTTATGTTGTATTGTTCACTTTTAATTAATAAATCGATGTGTCTAGGTCATATATATATATATATATATATATATATATATATATATATATATATATATATATATATATATATATGGTTAGGTTATAATTTAGATGGACAACTATTGTGTGGACGTGTGAATAATGCTATTTTATGAAAATTACTAAGAAAATATGTTGTATAGTAATGTAAATACGTTCAATCTCACATAACTATTGTTATTTTAACGGATTCTCACTGATTCTAATTCATTTTATTTCTCATTCATCGTTTTTTATTTATTTTAATTCCTACAGAATACGACTCAATAAACATCCTGATAACATTTTGACAGAATAAGAATAATTAAAAAATGTATATAATAACCTTATAAACAATTTAATTAGTGAAAATGCGTAATAATTACAATAATTATATAAGATTGAACGTATTCATATTATCAAACAACATATTTTCTTTGTCATTCTCACAGAATAGCATTATCCACACGTCCACATAATAGATGTCAATCCACATTTGAACCTATCTCTCTCTCTCTCTCTCTCTCTATATATATATATATATATATATATATATATATATATATATATATATATATATATATATATATATATATATATATATATATATATATATATATATAGGGTCCGGTTCCTATGAGGATTCTTTTTAATGTAAGGACACCTTAACAAAATTGAAAATATATCTAAAAAAATACAAATCATAAAATCGAGCATAGATCTATGTCCAGGATAAAAAAAATGGAAAAGAAAATTTGCATCATTAAAATTGATCCATTATTAAATTTTAATTTTTTATTTTGCATCATTATGATCCATGATTCAATTTTAATGATCCAATTTTTTTTGTCCCGGGCATAGATCTGTGCTCGATTTTATTATTTGTATTGTTTTTAGATTTTTTTTTCAATTTTTTTAAGGTGTTTTCACGAGTCATCACTTTAAAATAAGTTCTCACCCGATCATGTTTATAGATATATATATAATATATATATTATATATATATATATATATCTATATATATATATATATATATATATATATATATATATATATAGGGAGAAGTTCAATAGAGAACCATAATTTTTTGGTTCTTCAAGGAATCAAATCTTTTTTTCAATTTCTAGAGCTTATTCTTTATCGAAAAAAAAATCTAAAAATATCTAAATTCATATATTAACATTGTGAATGTGAAAAATATTTTTCGGATTCACCATGTGAATTTTCAAAGATTCACATTGTGAATTTGACGTAAAAAAAATCGAATTTGATATCATTGGAAAAAGGATAAAAGTTATGAATTTCTGTATTTTTAGTTTTTTTTTTGATAAAAAATAAATTTTAAAAGTTGAAAAAAAAATTGGCTCCTTGGTTAATTATGGTTCTCTATTGAACCTCACCCTATATATATATATATATATATATATATATATATATATATATATATATATATATATATATATATTCTTTTCAAAGAAACACTATTAGATATTAATTCTAGTTAACAAGTTAATTATAAATTATATTCTACATCTCCAGAGACATCTTTCCATATTTCAATTAGCCACATGAAGTGGTATCATGAGTTACAAAATGGTACGGGTGACTACATATGGTATATGACCTTATATTATGCATAGACCCTCGTTAATAGGTCTTTTTACAAATAAGTGAACCATAACCATAGAGTGTTGATGATCAAGCCATGGTCCAATAATACCGATGTCTAAACTATTAACGAATCAGGTTTGGTAATATCGACGTCAATTGTGACGAGTACAAAGAATCAACATAAAGTACTTAGGAGTGTTGTAACTAACAAATAACATAGGTTGTATTAAGTTTGACATTTGACAGATCCCACAACTCTCAAGGATAATGGTTCAACTGCTAAAAGGACATGTGTGTGTACCTTTGGTATATAATCCATAAATGTGACAAGACCTCACCACTAATCGATAAAGCACGAGGTAATCGTTCAATATTTCGACTATAAATAAGACACTCATACGATCCAAAAGGTACGCACAAATTAAAATTCATTATTATATGATTTGATATATATATATATATATATATATATATATATATATATATATATATATGTCAAATAAACTCTGACTTTATCATCAGTGTGTTGCCCCTATAGACCCTCCCGGTCAGCTGCTTACGAGTTGTTGCTTCCAGGACTCGTAAATCCAAATATACCAATCTGTGACACTAATCTACCAGAGCCGGAGCCTTAGGCATATCAGGATATATTAAACATTGGTGGTATTTGTGAAATCATATCCACATTTAGTAACTGATAAAAAGAAATGGTTCAATGCGGCACCACAATCAACAAGAAAAGACGTTAGGAGTGCTTTGGGGATCCCCAAATCATGCTGGGGATGTTGGAACCTGAAAGTGAACCTCTAGCAATCTCTAACATTTTGAAGTTCCGAAGTCAGTCTCAGTTCCGAAACAGAAGTTGGTGCGAAGTAAGTGTGCAGTCCGGAATAATAGCTTAAGTCCGGAAGAGAATTGAAGGTTGTGTGATTGTGTTCCGAACCACATGAAGGCCTTCCGGAATGGATGTTATGTCGGGAATGTTAACTTGTCTGAATCAATGTTTTACCTATTTGTATTAATTGTATTTGTCATTTAGCTTGATGTTACATATCATAGGACTAGATCTCTTTGTCAAACTTAGATAATTAGAGTGTCAGGAGTAACTCTATTATCCAGTCTTATGTATGTAAATCAGTTTGTACGATGTATCATGTTCTCCTATTTATAGGAGTTTTCAATGACAAATCAATTGACGGATTGTTCAAACATATATAGCAATATTCTAGTTTACTTCACTTTCTAAGTTATTCTCTCAAACATTCTTCTTGTTCTTCATTTATTGTCTTTACATTGATCATTATCTTCACTCTTCATTAATATCTTGAATACTTTGTTGATTGCATTAACTCAGAGTTGACTGGTCTTGCCAGACTTGACTGGAACATTCCTTAGCAAGCAGACAGTGATCTTACGCATTAACTCAAGGTTTGAGTTTTCAAACCTTGTCCCTGCGCATCAGATCTTTTGTTCTCATAGGGGAACAATACAACGGCCAACACAGTTAATTTCGTTAAAGAGAACAAGAAATATATTGTACGCTTGTAGCGATATCTCTTACGCAACATCATGATCCTCTCAGTAACGAAGTAAGGGACCTAGAAATACAACATCAACTATGTAACATTGAAACACACCACTAACTTCGTTCTGAACTTTGTGGTTACATTAAGCATGTATATATAATGTATTTAGATAAATATTTTAGGGAAATTGATTTATCAAGGTAATTACATTTTTGTTTTTCACACATATAGGTAACTTCTTTTTATTGTACACATCTAGGTAACGAACTTTTTATAAGTGTTCACATATAACCATTATACTCGGCTATAGCAAGTTACAACTAATCATAATGGTCATATGTGAATACTTCTAACAAGTTTGTTACCTAGATGTGTACAAAAAAAGAAGTTACCCAGATGTAAACAAAACAAAAAGGAATTACCTTGATAAGCATTTAAGCTGACCATTACATGTTGGGAGTCGTTTTTTGTAGCATAATTGTCAAATAGCTCTCTCTCTCTCTCTCTCTCTCTCTCTGTATATATATACATCCCAAATTTCACGACTAGAAAAGACCGATTTGTTTATGCATTATTTAAAATCAGAGTATCGGTTTGAAGAATAATATTGTGGAATTTGTTCCCAAAATATGATAAAGATATTATCAAAGAATTTCCGAATAAATATATTTTAATTATATAAAAACGTTGGGATGTCATCCTCAATATAGTACATAAGCATAGACGGAACTAACTTAGGCCTTACAAACATCTACTATTCTACTGACCTATAATCCATAAATCTCTCATCTAATCATCACACATGTGCTCTTGTGCCACTACCTATAATAGAAGAAACTGACTGGGTCAGGCTTGGGAGCTTGGTGAACACAAAGTTTTCAGCCCACAATAATTAAATTCTTTATTTTCATTAAATCAATTAACCCGATTACCGATCTCCATTATCCTCACCTTTTATCTGTAACATCCATAAAATCATGCCAAATTTGAACTTTTTAAAACATTTCAAAACCAATGATTATTACAAAACTTGTGTTCAAATAGTATAGTGCCAGAGTATCCCATAATCAAAACATGAAAACATAGGGAGGTGTACGATCACGCCTTCGCCTTCCCGCAATCATCGGAAGTACCTGAAACAAAATCAACAACTGTAAGCCCGAAGCTTAGTGAGTTCCCCCAAAATACCAATGCCATACAATCATAATCATATCATATAAACAAACAGCATCCATAATGAGCCTTCAGCCTGACTGGACCGCGTCGCAGGGCCTTTTGCCTATCTGGACTGCTCTCCGAGCCTTCGACACGTCTGGACCGCCTCACAGGGCCTTCAGCCTATCTAGACCGCTCGCCAAATCTTCGGCCTGACTAGTATACCCTCCCGGGCCTGTAGTCTATCTGGTCCGCCCTGGGTATGTTGGCCTTCAGCACAAAGCAGGACCGCCTCAACCCAACCCCCAAATCAAACCATCATGTGCACATAAATATCATACGCTAGCATATATAACAGTCAAACCGATCTAACAGACCACTAATCATAGCAACATCCTATAACCAGGATACAGACCTAACCGGTCACTAACATAGCATCATCCTATATACCAGGATACTGACCTAACCAGGTCACTAAGCATATCACCATCCTAACTACCAGGATGTAAATCAATAAGCATATCATGCAATAAATTTGAAT